ATATTACTCAATTTTAAATTCAACCTTTTGTGGACTTTTTATTGTTTTTTTTTTTTTTTATTTATGACATACTTACATATTATTTTTTATCTCTGTCTGTGTGTAGCACTAGTGTAGCATAGTGTGTATTTTTTCAATTGTATATTTCCGTATTCTTTTATATTTTACCTATTTATTTATTTATCTTAATTTGACTAAATAATAGCTATTTATATAACAAGTACATAAAGTGAGGCTTTATTGTACGAATAATTTTATGGCCGAGCGAGCTTGCGAGTCAATAAAGCCTCACTTTATGTAAGCGTCATATACATGATTTTATATACGATTATGACTGGTTTTTGTTAAAAATTAGAAAAATTTAAGGTTTAAAGTCAACCCCTATTTTCTGAACCTTGTGTTCAAAAATTCCAAAAAAAATATATGTTTTATGGTTATCGCAATAAAGTAGCACTTTATTTTACTAGTAAAATAAAGTACTACTTTATTGACGCAAAACTGTTCTATAAATAGCACTTTATTGGTCAATCGGACATAAAGGTTTTTTTTTTGTTGTGTCCCTTATAGTGTTTGAAACCTATGTCAAGAAATGTTGTGTTAAATGAATGTATTTATTATTTTTGTAAATTATTGCCTACGGTAATTTTAATTTGATTGATATTATGGCTTGCTGGCTTATCTAGGTTTAGTTGTAAAATTTAATTTAAGTTACGTTAGCTTTGTCAATAAGATTTTTGTATTCTTGGACATTAAAGCATATTTACTACTAAATAAATAAATAAATAAATGTTTATTGACGGACTTGCCATTTTCAAATGAGTACATAGTTCAAATTGATAAATCCATGGTGCACCCTGTCAAAGGCCTTGGAAAAATCAGTGTAAATTGAATCAACCTGACCTGACATCTCTCCTCCAATGCTTCCGACAGAGCCTCACCATAGACTAGCAAATTAGTCAAGATGAGATTCCCAAGTTTTCAATGTTTGAAGTGGGACACCCATCAAATATATTATTTTTGAAGAATTTAGGAAAAAAGGTTGATGAAAAAAGCTTGGAAAGATTTCTGGGTAATTTTGAGATTGGTTCTTTTACTATTAGGATTATGAATGGCAAAATGAAAGGACAGGCCTTCATAACATTTCAAAGTAAGGATTTTACAAATCTCTTGAACAGAAATATAGGCGTTTTAAATTATTTTAGATCAAGTTCAAGCTACACAAGGATTAGAAGCTCTGAATGGTGTTTTTATTGATGGAAAACCAATTATAGCTCAGTTTGGAAAAGTCCAAGAATTTTCATAATCTTGTATTATTATCCTTATTACTGTACTTTCAATAAAATCATTTTTTCCCTTGGGCTGATTTTTTTTTTATTCGTTCCATAATTTGAAAGTTATAGTTATTTAAAAAATAGAAATTTTTCGCTTAAATGAATGTTACAATTTAGAAAACCAAAATTTTAATAACAAAATTCAATTCAAATAAAAAATGATGAGAGTTCCAAATTTAAATAATATTTTTTTTTCTAAGCATGGCTTCCATTCACTATAATGTTATATCAGATTACATAATGTTAAACTAGGAAAATATTTCTGACTAATCTAATAACGCACCTTATATCTAAATAATGTATGTGTACAATAATATTTATTATGCTCTGTTCAAATGAAAAACAAAACAAATCCGGTAGTTCCTTTGGAAACTACATTAGTAAAAAAGTTCAACAAATCCTATTGGTAGCTCATTATGGGCATTTTCAACTTTTGGGGTAGGTACTCATGAATCTAAAATAATTAATAGTTTTTAAAT